TTTACCAGTTTAAGATGCTTTTTTGTTTGTTTTGTTTAACTCAAAATGGCTAGGTAACTACAAATTAAATTTAACAAGCCATTTCAGCTAAATCCTGATACCACTGAAGTCTATTGCAAAACTCCTGTTGATCTCAGTAGGAGCAGGATTTGGCCTGTAGGATTAGTGTAGAGTATGGTTTTCTTGTTGTGGGTATTTGGTATGCAAAATGGCTATGGTCTATCAGGCTCCTAAACCCAGTTTCCTGGGAAACGAGACACAAGCTGCAGCTCTGATCCTTTTCCCAGCAAGATACTGTCCCTGAGTTCCCATCTCTGGTAGTCATGACTACAAACCCAAATTCCCAGGCCACATTACATAAGTACTTCAGTACTAGTGTTTTCTGCCCTGCATCTGTTTATTCTTCTCTAGAACTAGTGACTGTTTTAGAGACAAAAGGGTGAGGGAGAGAGATTTAATTTTATATTGAAATAAGACAGATCAGGCAACATTTCAACCCCTTCATACACTCAGTGCAATGAGAATCAACAACCAGGAGCTCACTTACCGTCTCAGATGGATTTCTCAATTTGATTATTTGTTGCACCATTTTTTCCTTGATTCTGTTGTTTTCTGTCTTTTTCCCTAGCCCATTTCCCTCTGGCTAGCTCTGGTCCAGGATTCTTCTCAAAAAGAGGCTCTGCAACTACATACCCTCTCTTCATATTCCTAACTCCAACTGTGATTCTCAAACCCTCACAAACCTCTTGCTTCCAACCCACTTGTCTCCTGTCGGAGAGACCTCTCCCAAAGTGTTCTACCTGTTGTTTGAACAGCAGTGACAGAAGAAAAATATCATCCCATGTGTATCACCCTACAGAAGGAGGCTGTACACTGGTTTTGTTATCTTTCTCTTTTTTCTTTATATATATATTTATATTTGTCTATTCTTTTCTGTCTCTGGCTCTATGTTTGCCACCTCTCTCAGTCAGCATGATCCCTGACAGTGATGCCCCAAGGAGTTGCCTGAAAAACCTAGAAAAATCTGACTTCCTATATAGTATATGATTGTTATAAGGATGTCTGCTTGGTTGCCTACTTGGGCCTTCCAAAAAATACAAAATTTTCAGCAACTACATTCAGCTGTCATCTTCTTCCTTGTCACTCCCACATTTTTGGCACTGTGCCATGTCTTCACAAAGCTGTGCCTTCTACAATAAAATGAAATGATATGTAATAGTCACTGGCCTGGAAGTTTAATGTCGTATATGGGATATCAAGGCAAGTTCAATTCAATTTAACTTTCTCCTAGAGCACAGGCCACAGTGCTGTCCTTTCAGGATTTTTCAGAAAGGATTGTACAGCCCTTGCCTAAACTCATAAATTGCACTGGTTGAATGAAAATCAATTTTAAAATAGATTTAGTTAAACCAGCACAAACCCCTGGGATGGCACACTTTTAAATTGCTTTAATAATTGGCATAAGTCATTTATAAACCAATTTAAGTGTCTCCTCACAGATGTTTGCAACAGTTTAACTAAAGTGATGTAAAAAAAACCCTAATTTTAGTTAAACTGGCATAACTTTTATGTAGGCAAGTTAAGAGTCAAAACCAGGGGGGGGGGAGAATTATGCTGAGTAAAAGGGCCAAAGCAGAGTACTGTCCTCCAAGGACGCCCCTCCCAAACCCTTATATAGGGAGTGTGCTGAGGACAGGAGGGGTCCTGGAATAGTCCAGAATAAGGAGAGCGCAAAGTTGACTTAAAGGCACTTTACCCCACCCTCCCTCCCCATGGGCTCTGAGTTCTGTGTTGTGACTGTTAGTCACATGTACAAAATCTCACACTGAATGTATTAATTATATTTACTATTAATAGCTACCAGCCACTAACAAAGAGAAAGCATGCACAGTTTTCAAATGTTTGTATTTAACATAAAGCATTTTAACAGTACTTGAGATTCTTTTAAAATCATTTTGAACACAGCTATTAGATAATAAGACTACAATTGCAATTCTTTGTTTATAGTCTTTCAAAATTTCTTTTGTTTTATAAGGCATATTCATGGGACATAAATATGTGTGTGTGTGCTTGCGCGGGGGTGTGTGTTTAACCAGAAAATCTCTGGTTATGGGTGACTGTGACGGGTTGGATCACAGAAACCCCCTTGGGAGCTGCCACCCGATGTGCAAAGACTACCCCTGCTTCTGTTTTCCCTGCCAGCTCAGGACTCCAGCACCCTGTCTTGCTGAGCCAGACACTCCCGTCTGGCTCCAGACACAGACCCGGGGTCTGAATCACTTGCCCCAAAGCTGCAAGTTTACCTGAAAACAGTTCACAGAAGTGT